CTGTAAGACCTCAAAAGGCATGAAAAGTTTTGTAAGACCTTATTATAGGCATAAAATCAATCTCGATGTTCAGGATATATATCGAATTTGTAAGAACCCTAAAAAGGCATACCCTCGATATAGACGCCTAAACTACTATACTCGGGATCAAAAAAATGGCTCCGGCAAAACATAAATGACTACCGTCATATGGCTGAACCAGCCAAACTAACGCGACTCGAGGACGCCTGACCGTCGCTACAAAATCATAAGCCATTACTTCGAATCTACTTCGAAAAGAACCGGTTAAACAAGCTACCCTCAACAGGAAAAAGAGCTTCGACCATGTCAGCTCCAAATCATAAGGCTTCGAGCTACTCAGCCTACGAGCCAAACCTTACGAGGTGCTCGAACATCACCACTAACGACTGGAAATCGAGGTTCTTCCCAAATCGACAACAGGTCAAGCAAAATCATTGCAAAAGTCCTTAACGAGAGGAAAATAAAGCCTACATATGCCTAAGGGCAAAGCGTAAGAGCCATTGTCTCTAGCCTAACGAGCCTCAAGGTCACACATATGCCTAAGGGCAATGCGTAAGAGCCATTGTCGCCAGCCTAACGAGCCTCAGGGCCACACATATGCCTAAAGGCAAAGCGTAAGAGCCATTGTCGCCAGCCTAACGAGCCTCAGGGCCACACATATGCCTAAGGGCAAAGCGTAAGAGCCATTGTTGCCAGCTTACGTAAAACTTGAAAGATATGTGAGCTCGAGTCGAAACCCGACTCGGAGACTTCACTCGAAAAGGTTGAGCAAAAGCACAAGTGCTCAAATGTTTGCTTACACTAAAGGTCGCAATGACCAAACGCGTAAGAGCCCCAGGGCCGTATCAGGAATCTAAGGATTCTTGCCAACTTTGAAGCCGGATCACCCGTCCAAATTTAAAACAGAAAAGGGAATGGAAGAAGCAAAGCCACAAAGTTTCCTTTCATACATATGCAAATACGAAAATACAATACACGAGGAAGGAAATGGACGGATCCAAATCCATCATCGGGCCTACATCCTCGATGGCTCCGCCGAGGGTCATACCTCGATAACTACGAGTCCTCAATCGACCCTTTTCCAACGGCGCCTTCCTTTTCCAAGGATTCACCTTCATTCTCGGCCCCACCTGAGCTGCCGCCCGTCACACCTCCAGGGGTCCGCTTTCAAGGTTCCAACCGAGCACGGGTCTCAGCTCGAGTTGATCTCGGACTAGCCTCCCCAGATGCCCTCTCCGCGCAGGCGCTTGCGGCGATGGCTTCCTCCCCATGCAAAGATACAAGTGCCTCAGCTTCGGCTTTGATCCTAGAAAGTGCAGCTACCAGCCCGGAATGGAGGCCTCTATACTTATCGTTGTCCTCCTCTGCATCCCGGAGCTGACGATCGATTGAAGTCACCTTCCCCTGGAGGGTGTCTCTCTCGGAAGCTCTCTCCCCTACGTACCGTCTAAGCTCGGAAATCTCGGCATCTCTGGCCTGAAGCTTCTCCTTCAGCAAAGCGTTTTCCTTTTCAAACTGCACAAAGTAGGTACGAGATGCTAAAGCACTGGAAACCAACAAAAATCAGAAAATAATAAACAGAAGACGGATAGACCTGTTCGGTAAGAGAGGCTTTCTCACACTCACGACGGGTCGCCTCGTCCTGGTATCGGGTGAAAACCTGGCCATAAAGCGCTTTGTCCTGAGGCCACAAAAAAAAATAAGTTAGAAAAAACCAAAGATCGGAAGCAGCCCAGAGCGGCGGATAAAGTTAACGGAAGTTACCCTCTCACAAAGTCTGCCCATTTCGTCAAAAACAAGTGAAGCATCGACCTCAGGAACTCCCCCACGAGCTATCGGCAGTGCGTCCGATGCATCTCTGCTTCCGACAGGTACCCCTACATCGGGGAGCCCTTCACGTGGGCCGTCCTGCACACCCCGAGATGGAAGAACCATTCCCCAAGGAGAATCAATCACGGCAATGGCGTCGGAATGATCCACCCCTCGTTCACCTAGGGCCTCGGAGCTAGGCCCCTCCGAACTGCCTATCAAGAGCACCTCGACTCGAAGAGAATCATGGCCGCCCGCTAACTCGGGAGTAGCGCTTGATACTCCGTCCATGGTCTCCCCGACGCAGAGCTGAACCACAGCGGCACCAAGCTCCGATTCAGAAGCCTCCATCCCTACGGTCCAGGGATCGGCCAAGTTTAAATGCTCCTCGGGAGCCGCCGAGAAGCTACTTTCCCCCTCACCTTCAGCTCGAATGTTTCCGGCAATTCCGGAGTCAGGGCTGCCGGGTCGACCCCAGACTTTTCCGCCTTAACCTTCTTTAATTCCGGCGGCCCGCCTAGCGGATCCCCCTGCATTCTCTTCCTCTCGCCGGGCACCGGGGCATTCCCCTCAGCAGACAATACTTCCTTCGCCAACGGGGCCTCCCCCAGACCTATACAAATGCAGAGGCAAAATACAAAAAATGTGGGACGGCAAAAGTAGCATTTTGGATAAAATAATGCAGCCGCAGCAGGTTTCGGAGCTTATCATGATCCTTGGCCTCCCACCGAACTCGGGATAAATCACGCCACACTCGCTCGGCATATGGGCAGATCGAATACAAGCGACCGACCCAATCTCGGAGATCCAGAACCGCGCCAGAGTAGGTCTCTATGGCTGAAATGGTAAGAGAAGAAAGCTTAGATGCTTGGAAAGACATTGTCAAAAAGAAGCAAAGGAGGTCTAGAAAGCGCATCTACTTACGCCCCGCGTTCCACCTCTTAGGAAACAGTATCTTTTCCATCGGAATCAGGTCGGAAGTCCTTACTCGAACAAATCGGCTCACCCATCCTCCACTCCCAGGTTCGTCGGTGCAGGCGAAGAGAGACCTAGGGGCTCGACAGCGTAGCTTGATTAGACCCTCACGGAGAAGACGAGATCTATACATCCTGAGCAGGTGGTTGAGGGTGAAGGGCATCTCCCCGACTATGTTTGTGGAACGCCTGATCATATAAACCACGCGCCAGAACGAAAGATGAACCTGGCCAAGGGTTACTTGATACCGCAGACAGAAATAGAGAACCACGGGGTCGATCAGGGGCGAGGATGGCCCCACCGGCCCTAAGGTGAATGGATAGGTGTACACACTCAAGAAGCCGGCCTTGTATGCTGTAATATCTTCTTCCTGGGCAGGAACCTCCACAAGCACGGTATCCCCCCAGTGGCAGTCGGTTTTCACCATCCCTACGTCCATTATCGAGCTGATATATCGAGTCACGGGTTCACAACGCTCTGGCTTCGAGGAAGGTCTTTCGACCTTGAAATCAGAAGTCATCGCAAAGGGTCCAGGGACACAGTCCTCAACACAGGGAGGTGTGGCCACTTCACCTTGAGATAAGAGCGAAGATGATGAAACCGCGACCTCCTGAGAAGCAGAGGCAGAAGTTTTCATCATTACTAGAAGATTCCGAAAGGAGAAGAAGAGTTGCAAGAACAAGGAAGGGGAAGGCCTTTTTCTGGGTTTGTAAGTGAGATGATTTAAAAGAAAATAAAAAGGAGGAAAGGGGAGTATTTATAAAAGCTCTGCTTACGCATTAAAGAAGGCTAAAAGACAAACAGTTGCCATAATCAATACAGAAATTTTCAGGGGCTACGTGCGTATCGCGCCCCGGCATCTCGCGATCGATGCTGATTACAAACACACTTGAAGAGGAAGAAGCTCAAATTCGTTTCCTATCGCTTCGAGCTAGAAAACGCGGAGACTATCTGTATACGGCAAAATCGGAGGGTCCAATTTCCCGTCATTAAAGCATTTTGGAAGATCGCCTCGAAGCCTTAAAGCTGCAAAGATGCGCTCGAGTCTTCTCCCTCAGAGCCCATCGACACCCGGTCTTAAAGGGATGACGGTCGGGGCTAGAGTGAAAATGGGAAGTTCCCAAGACGCGGCTAACTATATACGGCAAAATCAGAGGGTCCGATTTCCCGTCTTTTAAGCATTTCGGAAAGATCGACCCAAAGCCTCGAGGCTGCAAAGATGCGCTCGAGTCTTCTTCCTCGGGGCCCATCGGCACCCGGCCTTGGGAAGATATTGATTGGGGCAAAAGAAGAAATAGGAGTTCCCGAGACGCGGCTAAATCTGTCGCGGCTAAGTCTGACAAAGCATAGCCAGGCTACTCTGAGCCCTACTTGGGGCGTCATTTCCAGCCGTCCCATCTCCACACCTTTACAGCTAATGGATTCCTTACCGTATAAGTTTCCCCCTTCTATATAAAAGAGATTTTCACTATTTTGTAGGGGACGGATGTTGCTCCAAAAGCTCTACATGAAATATATGATGACTTTCTCTCTTTCTCTCTAAGATACTCTCTCGACGTTGTTGTTCTACGTTATTATTTTCATACTTGCTCCATATTCATTGCTTATTTATTGCTTATCATTGGCTACAAAGAGCCTCCTTTAATATTATTGCATCTGTTAGCCCTTCCCCGATTTCCCCCAATAGCTCGAGCCCGAGCTCGAGACTCGACCTCGAGGCCCCGAACGGCTATCTCTCGGTTCGATTACTGCTTTAGTCTAGCTCGCGTCTCGTCCTTAAACTACACACACAGAGCATCGACTGCTCCACGACTAGCATAAAAATAGATCACGTTTTTTTAGAATCTCATCAACAAATTTAATTGTCATTACCATTTTCACGGTAAACAACTTGGCACCCTTAACGCTAAAAGTCTTTAGAGGGCACTGATTAAACAGAATATTGTGCCCCGTCGCATTAAATTCCTGAGTCCACCTCTGCTGATAATGTACAATTTTTTTTGTATTATTAGGTTGAGTTGACATACGGTAGCAAGTACTTACTCTTCAAACAAACCAAATATATATAGTAACCTGAAATATAAAGTAATAACCCGCTATAATCAATTAAATTGCTTACCTATCTTGTATAAATTCTTTACACTAACAAATAGGAGTAATGTATTTGACCTAAATCCTGTATACTAGTAGTATATAATAGAAGAAGAGGCATTGCATTTGCCCAAAAAACAGAGCAAGAATCCAGAGTCACATTTCAAGAAGCACAGGCCTTCCCTTTTTTCTTTTTCTCTCCCAAAGGTTGCGTAATTGACGTTAACTTTTCCAACTATTCCCTATTTCACATCTCCACGCCTTTTTTTCTTCATTTGCAGAAGCCTGAGCAAAAGCGCCTCACGTCTTGAATGGTTGATACCATCAAAACTTTGATGCCCGCTGTTCTTTACTTCTCGTTTTGCCTCTCCTTTGGCTCTGTTAAAGAAGTCTGGTATTATCGCTGTGTTGGCCTTGATCCTTGAGATCAATTTTCATATAAACTTATAATCCCATCTTTTTTTTCTTATTACGTTCAATAATTGCAGCTCTGTAGCTTGAAAATCTAAGAAATTCTTAACTAAAGAAAAAGAAAGGACATGGAGAAGAAATCGTTGCAGAAGCCAATAAAGAATACTAGGTTCTTGATCACGGTCAATGTGTTGGGAAGTGCTGGGCCGTTAAGATTTGTAGTGAGTGAGAATGATAAGGTTGCTGTGGTCATTGACACTGCTCTGAAACAATATGCTCGTGAGGGCCGACTTCCAGTTCTGGGTTTTGACGTCAATGATTTCTTCTTTTACCCAGCCAGTGCTGGACTTGATGGTACACAATATATCTTAATCTTTTGTTTTTCTTTTCTTTTTTTAATCCCTAGTATGTTGTTTTTGATGGGTGAATGATGGAAATTTGTTTCGTAATTACAAAGTCAAACAAAATTTAAGTTCAGCAAAACTTGAATGTGCACAAGAATACGGCTGGTGTGAGTTTTTTTTAGAACAGAAGAGAGAAGATTTAGAGAATCTTATTGTGTGTAGTTTGGAGACAAAAGACATGTAATACCTATAGATGTTTGTTAAGACATAGCTATCTTAACAGAAACAACCCTTTCTAGCTAACTTCAGTCAAAAGTTTGCCTTTCAATTCAAACTTTAAAGTAACATATATTTAATCGTTTAAATAAATTAAATGAGGGACAACTTGCATTTATTTTCTATGCATTCTTACCTTCCACACAACTCCAACCTCCAATCTACCGGTTGATTGTGTAGGTGCTAGAAGCCTCATTCGACAGAATCAACATTATTGTGCCTATTAGTTTTTTTTTTTTTTTTCTTACTTAAAATATTTTCAACCACTAATGCTTGCATTTGGGTAAACTGCTACATCACACTCCCTTAGGGCTTAGGGTGTTGCCCTTCCCCGTATCTTGTGCGAGATGCTTCGTTCACTGAGCTGTCCTTTATTTATTTTGTGCACCGGGCTGCCCTGTACTTACTATATGTTAAATACTCAATACTACTTTAATTTTTACATTTGTGGGCATTGACAACGTTTTCTCTGAACTGATTTTTCAGCTCTGAGACCATCAGACCCGATAGGATCACTAGGAGTGAGGAATTTCATCCTTTGCAAGAAGCAAAAGCAGCCGCTGATGACAGAAGGAAGGGCAAATGGGATTGCTCAGAATGGGAAAAAGGGGTGGAAGGCTTGGCTCACTAAATCCTTCAACTTCAAGATTCATTCCCATTGAATCACTTTCCTGTGTGTCTTGGTTACTTGTGGTTTCATCAAGCCTATTATATGTTCATTCTGTGCTCTCGACCACTTGTATGTTGTGATGAATATGATAATATAACTACACTAATAATTGATGTGTACATGCATCAATTCCTTATGTAACTCAAATGGTTTTAAGAGCGAACATCATATCCATGGCTGCCATTGTAATGAATATTTTCTTTTTTCTTGGGCCTATATTTTGACACAGTTGAAATCCAAATTTAGAGATATTAGAGTTTGGTTGCGATTGATTATATGCACAATTTAAAGTTCTTTTTGCATATGACTAGGGGGGCAAACAGGCGGGGCAGGGCGGAACGGTAATGCGAAAACGGATAAATTATCCGACCCGAGTCATATTTAATACAGATAGAAAATGGGTTAATCGGCGGATAACGTGAGTATCCATATTATTCATAGCTTCTTCAATATGATCTCATTTGGGAGAATCCTAGTCTCCCAAACTTGAGGAATCCCCAATTTGAGTCTTTAAAAATATAAAAGTTTAACTCATTAGTTATCCATTGGTTATCTATTTTCTAAGTGGATAATATGGTTCTTATCCATATTTGACCCGTTTTTAAAAAGTTCATTATCCAATCTATTTTTTAGTGGATAATATGGATAGATAGCTGTTTTTTATCCATTTTGTCATTACTATATACATTTAGAAAATGTTCAGTAATTATATACATTGCCAATATAATAATATATGTATGCATAGTTAGTGCTGAAAGCACTGGGTGAACCGCTTAGGCTTTAGATCCACCTTGTGTGTATGGCACGAACACGCCTGACGAACAGGACTCATGCCTAAGATTTGCTAAAAATCAAAGCATATTCAGAAGAAATTTGGGATGGTGGGAACTCATTGAGGTCTCCAGGGTCCAGCGATTTTGCTTGAGGGATAAAGTTTAAAATCTTTTTTAAAAGCAGAGGCTTAAAAAGAAAGCGTGAATTTGGAGCTCATGATTTATTCGAAATGGAACATAATTTGATCTTACCATCATTTACTTACTGATTTTTTTAGCATTATAACCGAATCGTCAAACTTCAATGTATATTTTCAGATATTACTACTTTATTCTGAGTGTATCAAAACCATCCCTACATGAAATAGTTTCTGGTGGTTTAAACCTATATAAAGTTAGAGGTTCTGGATATATACTTTTAATAGAATATCCTTTTTTTAATCTGTCTTTCTTAATTTTCTTCTTTCTTAGGCTACATTACTGGCACTGCTCAAATCTTTGAACCTTTTCATTTGATAAAAGAAAAAGAAAAAGTAGTCTCAACCCCTGAAAAAAATTCTTTGACCACATTAAAGATATGATTGACCATTTTATATTACATTCCAAGGGTTCTAATGCATTTCCTCTTCATTAGCGATTTAGCGATGACTAAGGCAAGTGTGTTGTTACGATCCAAAATTCATAATAGGTTGTGGTGGCGCCTAACGTCGTCGTCAGGCAAGCCAATGTCGATTATATTAATTTATTTACTTATTTTATTACTTTTATCATAACTCCCATTTAATTAAATAATATGAAATAAAATCTACATGGCGATAAAATAATAATTATGTGAACCACCATACTAAACATCTAGCAGAAATCCCCAGAACCCGGTGTCACAAGTGCATGAGCATCAAGTAGGAAATATAATAAAATACAACATCTGTCTGGATTATACATTAGATAGGAGACTATAAATAACTCTCATGGAGAATCTGCAGGCTGCGGATCGTCAAGGAAATGCAGCTCACCATAAAGTCCCCGCAACAATCATGCCTCTGCACCTAGAGGGCCAACGGAACCATATATGTATACCTGCACAATATGTGCAGCAAGTGCAGTAAGAGTACGTAAATCAACGCGTACCCAGTAAGTATCTAGCCTAACCTCGAAGAAGTAGTGACGAGGGGTCGACTTCGACAATTACTATGGGCTAACAATAAAATACCGAAATTATAATTGAGCATGGATTATGTAAATACAGCTGAAAACTTAATAACAAGAAATACATAAATAATTCTTTTACTGATAGTAAATCCCAAATTAAATTTCATCATTTAACAAATTAATCTTTCAAGCCAATGAAACAATATCGATTATAATTGGACTCCAAGAATTTTTACGCATGAATTATGCCGAGGTCTTACGGCTCGATCTAACATACAAATATATAAAATGTGCACTACCGAGGGTCGAACGGCACGCACCATAGATGCATCTATCTGCTACCGAGGCGTTCGGCCCGCTCCAGGAGAAGGAAAAATACTTTATGAACAACTGATTCAAGATTTATTAAGAGGCCAATATTCAAAGGAGCACCAATTGTCGTTAACGGTCAAGTGACCCGTCCAAAATTCAAGTAAGTTAAATTTAACTTTTTACAATTTCTTTATCAAGTTCCAATGTGATTTAAGCAATTAAATTAACAAGTAGGGTGCAAACATCGCAAGTATAACATAATTTGGGTCCTAAACTAACAGCTACGTACGGACTCTCGTCACCCCGTGTGTACACAGCCCCCACAAATAGAAGCACATATTAGATCGATTCACCCTGGGGTTAATTCCCTCTTACAAGGTCAGAAAAAGAGACTCACATCACTCCGAAGTTCCATAACCGGCTCCAAAGCTTTTCTAACAACTCAACCCGATGCTCTTCGCTCCAAAACTAGTCAAACAATGTGCAAACCAATAAAAATATACTCTAATACTCATAACAAATCAATTTAGACAAATTCCCAACTCCGCTCAAAAAGTCGATAAAGCCACCCTCGGGCCTACGTGCCCGAATTCCGAAAAGTTTTGAAGTTAATCATTACCCATAGCACTATGAACCCAAATATATAATTTATTCCAAATTTCATGTCCAATTTCGTGGTCAAAATCCAAAAGTATCAACTTCTAGGTTTTCCTTCAAAATTCCAAATTTTCACTAATTTCCCATGAATTCCCATGTTAAAATCTATATATAATCCAAGTATTTAATTTTCAATAGGTGGGAATCACTTGCCTTCTGTTGCTTGATGAAAATCTTCACTTGAATCTCTCCAAACTCGTGCAAACCAAGAGAGAAGAAAAATGACCAAATCCCATACTTAAGCAAGCCTACTGCCCAGCGATCCTCGCACCTGCGGTCACTGGACCGCTTCTGCAATTCCGCGGGTGCAGCAAAAGTTCCGCTTCTGCGGGAATGCCCCCAGATTCCCCAGTTCGCTTCTGCGTTGCCAAGACCGCATCTGCAATCACGCAGGTGCAGAAATACCTTCGCACCAGCGGCCTCTGCCCCATTCACTCCTAGCTGCTTCTGCAATTCATTGCGTCGCTTCTGCGGGGCCGTTTCTGCGATGAAACTTCCGCAAAAGCGGTTGCACCAGCAAGTAGAATCCTTCGGCTTCTCCTTCAAGTCAAAAAAACAATTCGTTAACCATCAGCAATCCACCGGAGGCCCTCGGGACATCATCCAATTATACTAACACGTCCCAAAATGTAGTCTGAACTTAGTCGAAGCCTCAAACCACATCAAACAACATCAAATCTACAAGTTGCGCATCGATTCAAGCTTAATGAGCTATTGAACTTCAAATTCCACATTTGATGCCAAAACCTATCAAATCACGTTTGATGGACCTCAAATTTTGCACACAAGTCACATTTGACATTACGGACCTACTCCAAATTCCGAAATCGGAATCCGTACCCGATATCAAAAATCCACTCCCGGTCAAACTTCCCAAAAACCTTTAAATTTCCAACTTTCGCCAAATGACCCCGAAATGAACTACGGACCTCCAAATCCACATCCGGACAAGCTCCTAAGACCAGAATCACCATACGAAGCCATTCTCAGGCTCGGAATCCCAAATGGACATTGATAACATTGAAATACACTTCAACCCAAATTCATGAAAATCTTCCAAAATGCCAACTTTCCACAATAAGCGTCGTAACGCTCCCGGGTCATCCAAAACACGATCCGAACATACGCCCAAGTCCAAAATCATCATACAAACCTATTGGAACCTTCAAATCCCGATTACGAGTCCGTTTACTCGAAAGCCAATCCTTAGTCAATTTTTCTAACTTAAAGCTTCCGAAGTGAGAACTTTCTTTCCAAATCAACTCCGAACTTTCCAAAATTCAATTCTGACCACGCATACCAGTCATAATACCTAAAGTGAAGCTACTCAAGGCCTCAAACCACCGAATGACATGCTAGAGTCAAAATGACTGGTCGGATCGTTACATTCTCTCCCACTTAAACATACATTCATCCTCGAACGTGCTAGAACTGCTCCGGAGTTGTCCAAAATCACTGTTTAACACCTCGTGCACCTACCCGTGCCATCACAACTCGGTTGAGCACATTAGCTCGAGCCAGTCTGAAGATTCTCCCTTTTATTTAGTCAATAGGCCTTAGGACGAAATCCTAACCTCGAGATTTCCCTACCAGGCCTGATTCTAACATACAAACACTGTATCAATCACCACACATTGTACCAAACGTGATCGCACACCTTTTCTACATTCACACCATGCACTGCATAATTCACATGACCATAATAACGTCCTCCAACAATAATTACTGCAATTTCACGAATTTGATGCTCGTAATACACCTCATAACACATAATAGCCTGATCCAACTCTTGCAATACCGCCACGACGAAAGATATGCGTAGAAACTAATAACCACCTGCCGAATCGGCAAATCATGAAGTCTCTCTTCCTGAAAAGGACCATTTCCTCATTCTAAACTGAGTAACGATACTTGCTCTTTAATATACCCTTCATAAATCTGATCGCATTGAATCCCAAGTCCAATAACCTCGTCTCACCCAGTACAAGCTGCTCCGGCAATAAGCCACTGCAAACACTATCTAAGATTTCACATGACACCATCATTGCGTCAACAAGCTAATACTTCAATATGACACATAAGGAAGAACAAACTCTAGAAAAGAATTATCCAGCCCGCGTGACGAATAAAACAGACATCAAATACAATGAGCCTTTCTCACAGGCAAGAAACAGGACACACAAAATAAATATAAGGGACAGTGCTTAACATCTCATTGTTGCAGCGTGCAACCTGATCCAATGTGACACTGTTGTGGCGTGCAACCCGATCCACACAACATAGCCGTGGCAGCGTGCCACCTGGTCCAAATAATATACCCGTGGC